GTGAGATTTCTAAAAACTAAAAAAACACAAAAACTCTTGAAAAAAAATCATTTCTTTAATTGTAATACATTTTTAACGTCTTCTATTTTTTAAAGCATTGAATATTTTTGTTGCATCATCATATGATATTTGCTGAATCATCATAGAAGATTTTGTCTTTACAAGGTGTTTGTCCATCTTACATTAGTGCATAAAAAATTTTAACGTCTTACATGAAGAAACCTTATCTACGGTAAAAATGTGGTTGCAGAGAAATGTGTTCTGGAAGGGTGGTGTTCTGTTGTTCGAAAAGGTTCTGAACAATACTGGTAAATAGGGAAGCTAGATAACGAGGCAGATGTTGAAAATAATGAAAGATCCAGGAAGAAAAGTGAAACGGATTTTATTCTAAATGGCGTAATGCGAAGCTTTTTCCAAAATGCGAGAATTTTGAAATTGATTTATAGAATGCGTGAATTTCTCGCGGTAATAATTTTTAATGCGAGAAAAGAAAAAAATATGCGAGGCTCTCGCGCTGTAGTGAAAAGACTGGTATATAAAAATAGTAAGTTCAATAGTAGTTCAAAAATAGTAAGTATATGTAAATAATTCAAAACTGAACTTTTTTTTGTTGATAAATTAACACATTCTAGATTTGTTGAGTAGAATTTTCAGACACTTCTAGCTCACTGCGTCCAGAATGTACCTTTCTATGTAAGTCAATGTTTCTATGTTAAATCAATTATCAAGTTTTTTTCCCATCATTTTATTGATTTATTTTTTACAGCAAACAAGATAAAAATAACAGCTAACCTTGTGCATCTTTTTACATCAATCACTGAATAATTAACCATTAATTTTTTCTAAGCCATACATATCTCGACTATTTTTTCATTTCATCATTATTTATCTTTCGTCCTATCTCTAAAATTTTCTTTTTGTAATTAATAATCTCAGTATAACTTTGGTCAGCATTCAAAAACGCTCTCAGTATTTTCAAAATTTAGTATATTCAAAATTTAGATACACAAGGCTGATTGAACTCCGGATTTCCAGATTTTTCGCTAATTGTGATCCGGAGATCGAAGGTCCAGACGTTTCAAAAAATCATTGATCGCAAAAGTTTCAGGAAATCAAATTTTGAAAGGTGGAACTTAAAAACACAGTTTATTTTATTTGTTTGTAAGGGAGAGCCAGATTCTTTATAAGCTTTATATTCAAGAGTAATATTAATTTTTTATCATTAAATAGTTATTATAATCATAAACTCAAGAAAGAAAGATGTGTAAATGGTATAAGTATGTGTAAAATTTTAAATATATTTTAAGTATACTAAGAAAGATTGAGAAAAAGAAGAAAAAAAACTTGTTAAAAATTTTTTCCACTTAAACTGTTCTTTTTTTTTTACTCAAGAAATTTTCTGGAATTTTGACTTGGGCTCACAATCACCTCTGGATACAACTCTAATACAAATTTTGTTTAAGCAAGCGTTGAAGTTCAATCTCATTCTTTCATTAATGAGCTTTATCATTGCCTGATCATTTAACAATAACTATAAAAATTACCAATGTTTACATTAAAATGCAATTTTTATTTAATAGAAATCTTTTTTTACATTTTTAAGGAAATACAGAAATTTTAATATTAAAAACAAATTGAAAAGAGATATTAATTTATCAAATTTCATTTACTGATTTCAGTCCCCATTACTGAAGAGTGGCACCCTTGTGTACTTGTACCCTTGTATCTCGACAAAATCATTAAGACCCTAATCAACAACAATTAATAAAATTATTTATCAGCTGCCCTCGGAACCAATGTTATTTCAATAAGCGGCAGGCACCAGATACACTTAAGTGAATCCCACTATTTAGTTAATATTTTGCAAACATTTTTTTAGTGATAATTTTCTATTCAAATCTTCAAACAATAATGCATGTTTATTATTAAAATATTTTTTCTATATTTACAGATATTGAGAGTGAATATGGACTTAATTAGTTTTGAGGACTTTAGACCTCCTATTCTGATTTCGTTTTTTCTTTCTTTTCTGAGAATTGAATTCTCTTTCAGTCTTTTCTGGATCTTCTAAAACTTTTTCTTTCATTTCATATATTTTCTTCTTGCGATCCACTTCAGTATCTTCTAATGAAATTTCAGCTTCTCGCCAGGCTACTTCGACTTGTAATAAAATGTTGAGAATTTTCTTATCTGAAAAGGAAGTTTATCTGATCAAACTTCAATAAAGGTTAAAAAAAAGTTAATTTAAAAGTTTAAAAAAACTAAAAACATGCTTTTTATTAACTTTAATGATTATTTTGATGATTTTTATTAACTTTAATGGAATTGCTGATGAGAAATTCCATCATCCTGATGTTACATTTTGAAATTTTAACTTTAACTTTATTTCCATTGATAAATATTTAATAATTTTTTTTAAAAATTACATGACAAGTTTTTATTATTATGCATATAAAAAACAGGATTTATTTAGAATAATTTTATAAAATATGATTCTAAATGAATGAATGAAATTCTAAAGATGATTCCAATCCTTTCTATTTAATTTTATCAAATAAACTGATTGTGAATATTTACTCAATTCAGCAGTATCATTTGAAACATGTTTAATAATGCAAGGCTTTGATTCAATCAAATTTGAGAAATAAGGTATGTAGTATTTCAGATTTTTTATTCTCTTATACAGTTCTGCAATTAGTATTCTGTGAAAATTATTGTAGTCTCGCACATTTGTCAATTTTAATATTTTTTCTTTTACTTAATTAATGTTAAAAAATTACTGAGTCATCCAAAACTATTTTCATTCATTTAAACTGTAACAAAATTAAATTGAAACGCAGACAAATGTGTACTGCTAAATTAGGTACTCAAAACCATAAATTGCATAATTTAATTGCTTTGCACTTTTGATTGAATAAAATATATAAAAATTTTAAAAATGATCAAGCATTATTTCTGTTTACCTAATAAAGCGATGCCTTTATTTTTAATCTTTTTTTAAAGGTATAGTATTGTCAAAGGTTAATAAATCATCAGAAGTAAAAAAAATAGATAAAAAATTTTAACTTGATCAGATTCAAACTTGGTCAAAGATCAAAATTTAATCTAAAATACAAGACGGCGAGAGTGAGGCCTCTTAAGAAAAAGTACGCATATAACTGGTTAAGCAGTTAACATAAGAACATTTAAAGTAAATAAGAAGTCAAACTAAGATGTAAGTATTCAGAACAGAACATCACAAAATTATTAAGATTTTTAGAAGTGGAAGGTGAGCGTAATGCAAACATTTATTTCAGTATATCTGCAGTTTGTAGCAAACACTATGTATGTCTACGACATGACAAACAGCTATAAACTATAGGTATAAAAGTTTTTGCTAACATAGTGCATCAATATCAGATCTATCAAGATCCAGGGTAAGCAAACATCACAATCTCAAATGAATCCAATGCTACACTAGATTGAGTAATATTCTTTCACAGCATATGCATTTCATACACATTAACTATATGATGAGGATTGTATTCATAAAGAACCGAGGAGCATTTTAAGATCTATTTAATGAAACAATAACAAAAAGAACAATTAATTGTATCAACATAAATTAATGCATGATTCAAATATGTGTAAATTTCTGTTGAAAAGAAAAGTAAAATTTTTTGCTTTTCAAAACAAAAATCTTTCTGCAAGAACTCTAACGTTCTGTGACAAAATTGCCGTGTCACTGTGATTCTTCAATGGATTAATCAAATATTTACCAAAAAAAAGGAAAAAAACAGTTAAATTAAATGTTATAAAATTGGTTTGTAAAAAAAACTTTTTTTATGAATAAAATGTGTCATAAAAGGCTAAAATGAAATTGTAAAAATTAGCATCAATGCAACAATTGTAACGATTTGTCGAAAAACAGTGCTGTTAGCAATTGTAAGAAAATGAGTGATTAGTTGGCTTTGCTGAGAAAAAATAATTTACCGATTTCATTGGATGGGAGTACAAAAGCTTTCAGAAAATGAGTGCAATAAAAAATCTATTATTAAATTAAAATCAACTAATCTTTGGAGAATTTTATAACATTATTAAAACATTCAAAGATTTGTCAAAATAAAAAATACTCCAAAAGCATTGGAACAAACTCGAATGATAAATGGATTCAGTCCACAGACTAGAATAGAAAACCCCTACTTTTTTTAAACATAAGCAAATATCCTAACCTAAACCACCTGCACTACAATCTTTGCCTCTCCTAAACTGCATAGTTTCTAAACAGGTCAAAGGTTCCTCAATTCATTTAGCAGTTTCTCTATTCATTTTAGGGAGAGTTTTAAAGTGTTATAATGGAGCAAATTTTAAAGCAAGCCATGTATTACTAAGTTGATGATATTTTTTAACTATTTGGCGATAAATTACCATCTAAAAAAAGGGTGTATAATGGATGGTAAAATAATTTAAATTAAGACAAAAACTTTCAGATTTTTTTTAAAAATACCTTGGTTTTTATCCAAATTTCCCCGATTTTTCCAGTATAAAAGAAATCCAAGTGGATGACCACCCTGTTCTTTAAAATATGACGATCAAACGTTAATACTCATACATTCAAATTAGTAAGGAATGATTTAAATAAGGGTGAAAAGGAAGCAAGCACACACCTGAAATTTTATGTTCTGAAAGTCGAACATTTATTTCCTCTTCAATTTTCTTTAATGCTAAAATGTCTCTTGGTGTCATTAAAGTAATTGCTAGACCGCCTTTACCTGCTCTAGCAGTTCTTCCTACACGATGAATATAGTTCTTGGGTACAACTGGCACATTGTAATTTATGACTAAATCAACCATCGGGATATCTAAACCTGTAGAAAAAAAATAATATTTTAGAATACTGATCATACAACCATGAAAATTTTATAAAAGAAACAAAAATATAAGAGCTCCATTTTTATTTCTATAGTCAACATTTTTGCAATCGTATAAAGAGAACAATTAAACTGCTAAAGAAAATTATCACTTGTGTTTAGGGAAATTTCTCTTCAAAAAACTCTTGCTGCTATGCAAATATGAGGGGAAAATTATTTTCATTGATAGAAAAATCTGTTAAAGCTCCTAAAAATTTTTCTGAATACAGAAGAGTGTTCATTGCGGCTTGGAAAGGCATTTTCTCTATATTAAACTATTTTATCTGGTTGCAATTTTTTGAATGTTAAAAAATAGCATTTATATGAATAGATAATAAGTAGAAAAAATACACAAGATTGTTACCAGCATGTAGTCACAATCTTGTGAAAACACATTGAGATGAAAATTGAAATACCATGATTTCTTTAAATGTTGAAAAAAGAAATTATACAAACTTATTCCCTTAAATAATTCCCGAAAGTTTTGAAAATCCATACAAATTAAGTTATGCGCTAACATAGTTTTTAATTAATACTAATAATTAGTTTTTAATAGTTAATGTATTTGGTCAGTAAGATTTTTAAGTTTAGTATGTAATTACATTTTTTCCACAACTTTTTTTGGCATTAGCAAATAATCCAATCATGATCCCAGTCTGTTTGGTAATACAGTATTTTAAAAATGTTTGACTCAAGAATTACTTTAAAATTCTTAACAATATAGTTATAATATGTTAAGTAGCAAAAACACAGCACAACAAGGGGTTAATAATCAAACTGTTAAAGAAAATAGATGTTACATTCGTTCCTACATTTATAATTCTAATACTGTTCATAAAATAAATAAATGTGTGTTCACAGTGTTTATACATATAACTTATAGTTAGATTTAAGGTCTTTTTAAAACTATTCAAATATTTATTTGAGAAGCTAAAAAATTATGTTTTAAAGTGTATTGAATATGAATATTTTTAATTTTTTTTAAAAGTTTTATTTAATTTATAATCAGAAAATGGTATGTTACTCTTTTTATAAAGAAAAAAAAAATAATGAAAAGTTTTGTTAAAGAGAACAAAAGCAGAATTTCTAAAAATATATGCCCTACTTAAGGAAAATTTTACTCTTTTAAAACTAAATTATCAAAAACACAATTATCCAATTACAGTAAGTTCAAAACATTTAACAATTATTAAGTCTAAGATAAAAAGCTTATAAAAACTAATAAATGAAAGCTTTTCGGTTTCATATAATTTAAAAGTAGTATTAAACAGCATCATTTTAGATTAATGGATTTCAATTCAAAAATACACTGATATTTATATATAAAAACAGCATTTGCATTCTTACTACCTAAAAACAAATTTTCAGGGCTATTTTTCAACTAAGGTATGCAAAATAAGTGAATGACTCAAAGAAACCCCAAGCCACTTTGCACTAAAATTTTAAAAATAGTAAAAAAGGAGAATTTTATTACTTTTCCAAACATTATTATATTTATATATTATAACTATATATTATATTTTTCATCAATGAATGTGTAAGTGAAAAACAAAACAAAAAAGTAGTTGCTCTCAGTAGCCTGGTCGATGGTGAATATCTGTTTTAGGTTTAAAATTTTGTGTTGTGTTCTAAAAAGCAGTAAAACTTTTACTTTAAGTACGATTTATGCGAAAAAATATTTTAAGTCAGTTTGCAGGAATTTGAGAAAGTCAGTATTTTGCCTTAAATATTTTTCTAAATAAGAAAGAAAACATGGCGGAATTACAACTGTATCAATCAATAATTTTTCTATTTTATAAAACTTTTTCAAATTAATCATAGTCCTTTCTCATTTAATAGATATTAGAAGAAATAGGCCTTAATGTATTAGTGACCTTAGAAACATTGATCTTAAGATCTGATTCACAATTTAAACAAGAAAAAAACAATCATGGAAGGTTTTGTTTTAAATTAAGAAAGAAAAAAAGGCTTGGAACATTAAATACAGTGAAACATCTCACGAAAGAACCACTCTCCGTTTCACTGTAAAATGATCATTCTAAGGGGTTTCCTCCATTGACAGCAAAACTGTTATCAAAGGTACACGATTTTTTGCAAACAATTTTTAATTTTAATCAGTCTCGTTTTCTTGGTGCAGAAATGCCACTTCTGTTGGTGCCATGAAAAGACGTAGCGATGAATAAAATCTAGTGTCTTTAAAATTATCCTTTCTGATATATTCATGTGTAAAAACAAATTTACCAATTATGAATGATAAAGCTACAGTAGACGCCGCTTAATGTGATCACATCGGGATGAACGTGATTTGATAACAATAACCGATTGATTACAATAAACAAAAAAAAATTTAATCTAAAAAATGATTTTTTTTACATACAAAAATAAATAAATAAAAAATTTTTAAATTAGGAGTTGTTGCTGTAAAACTCTAAAGTATTTAATAGAAATTAATGTACACTAAAGAAAAAGAATTAGTTAGTATACTTACATATTTAATGATGAACTGCAGAAAACAATACAAAAGGCTAATTATTAACTGAAAAAGAAATCATCAATTGTCGATTGTTTAGCATTCTTTCAAAGCAAGTCATTTACGAATCGCTCATAATCATAATGTTTATGAACGTGTTCCGCGTCGGCTTTGTTTTGCACACCTAGCCGTAAGACTCGAAGTGCCTCCCTCATCTGAGCAGGCGTCGGAATTTTGTCCTCGATAGCACTTTCGGGTTCATCATCGGCATCAGAANAGGCCGAAGCCTCTTGTGTCGGCTCTTGGTTCTGTTCATGTTCTGTGAGAGGAGTGATGTTGTCGATTTCCGTCGCAGGTTCATTTTCTTCCATCTCCATAATTGGAGTTTCCACAGGGGTACTCGGCTGTTCAGGCATAGTTGTCACTGGGTCAGGAATTGGATTAGCTGAGTAGTATGGCCTAGTTGCTCCCTCAGGAACCTGGAAGTCCTTGATCATGCCGATGCTGTTTCCTCTTTTGTTCTTATATATGAAGTCTCCATACTTATTTTCATAAATTTCTCCGGGTTGTAGATTAACTTCTTTAAAGTCAGGATAAATAATTTCACGTTGGATAATCGGTGGAGGAGAGCAGGACATAGTCTTGCCGCCTCGTCCGGATCGTCGAGAAAACATGATTCGCTCAGAGCTTGGTCACAACACAACCGTACTCTGTGAAGGCTTGAGTTGATCTTATGCTGATCTTCTTCTGCATGCGTCTTTTATACACTTAGATGTGGCAGTTCCACTATCCCCCTCCCCATTTTATTGTTTGACCAATAGCGATTCAGTAAGCGACCTGCCAAGATCAAGGGGCATACCCGAAACAATGTTCTCTTTTGAAGGTCACCCCTTACCCCCTTCCCATAGCAGCTGGGACATATCATCTGTCACATTGTTAAGTTCTTCTAAAAAGGGGCTCGTGACAAACATTGACTCGCTACTGGCAGGTGTTCTTTTCTCTTTATTTAGGATTTCCGGGAATTTGAAATCGCACAGTGCTGCGGAATTTTACAATGCTTGACCGAAAATGGCAAAATACCCCCCCCCCTCATAATAACACATGTTTAAAAGATAATATACCAGCCCCGTTTGGACTTTTGGTAAGTTTCAGGAAACACTTCACAAAACACAAAAAAAGTTTTCCTTCTTGTTTTTATTGATTTCAGGAAAATAAAATTTTCCTATAAACTGATAACAATAAACGAACATTTGATTACAATAAGCGATGATTTTTCAATGTATTTTGATATAAGCGGACGGGACTAAGCGATTTTGATAACATTAAACGATTGATAACATTAACCGTGATCACATTAAGCGGCGTCTACTGTATTTTAAATAAATAAACAATTATGTTTTATTGTTTAAGTTTGCATTTAATTTTTTATCAAAAAATTAGTTAGCTTTAAAAGATGAGAAGAGGTTTGTTTGTTTGAGATGCTTTTTTTTTTAAAAAAAATAACTTTTTTAACTAATTTAACTTTCAACTCTAGAAGTAAATCATTGATAGCATCATCTTTACAAGCTGTGACTACAACAGGAGGTTGTATCGTCAAAAAGAGCTTTCTAAATAAGAACGTTACACAAATATTTTAAATACATTTTAATCTACTTATTTATTTTGTTAAATTTTTTGTTTTGCTATTTCTTCTCCTTTCCTTATTCGACCTTTTCTGCATTTAGTGCAGATGTTAGCCTAGTCTCTGGAAAAGGTTTTAATAGTTTCTCCTAAAAGTTGTCTTCAACACAATGTCTGTGGAAAAAATTCCATGCTTCCCAAAAGTGGTCGTAAATAGAGGTAGTTTTTCTTGAAAGTTTCACTGTATACAAATAAAAGAAAAGAAATTTTAATAAAAGAAAATTTTAAGAATTGTTTTTTTTCCTTTTCATAATATTGTTGAAATTTAATTGCTCATAGAATGTTAAAAGGTATTTAGAAAATAAAATTTCAGTCTTCAGAACTAAAATTAGGACATCCTGGAAACTCTGAGAGAAAAATAAGGTCCTTTTAGGGGCCTTTAAAACAATCTTTAAAATTTAAATAGTTTTTTTAAGGTACAAAGAATCCTGGTTCAGAATTGTGTCATGACTAGTTTAAATATAAACTAATTAATAGAAAACTTGTTTTTAATTACAGCACACACACACAAAAATACTAAAACAACTACAACTTACTTAAACCACGTTCCCATTCTGTAATTAAATTTAAGTAATATAATTCTGCTACTTTACTACCTTCTATATTCATAATTTATCATTGAAAAAAACAAACTATGTTTAGTTTATAAAATAAAAATACTTTTAAGTACTTATAACAGAACTTACTTTTTAAGTGAACGTCCTTTGAAAACTGCACAAAAATACATATTTTAAAGAATCGAAAAAATTTAACTCACCTCTGCTTGCTACATCTGTGGCAACTAATATTTTGCTCCGATTTGATTTGAATTTCGATATGGAGGCTAACCTGTCCCATTGTTTCAAATGAGAGTTCAGAGACACATTTTCAAAACCCAAACTTCTTAAAGCTAGAGAGACCAACTGGCACTGTCTGAAAACAATTTATAATATAATAGTATACACACTTTCAAAATTTTTAGGGAAAGAAAACAAAGATATCAAAAAATAAAGAATTGATTTTTTTATTTCCTAAAACTTTTTTTGAAATTGAATTATGATTAAGTTTGGTATTTTTGAATTATAGTTAATTGAGGTAAAATGGATCTATTCATTAATAACTCTCTATGTAAATAATAAAATTGAATTTTTAATCCATATGTGTAATATTATTTCATTGTCTAACACTTAAATCATAATGAAATAATTAGTAATGTAAATAAATAATTCTAATAAAATATCATATACAATGTAGAACACGACCTAATCGTATTGATGATAATTTATACCTTTTTCTTTTAATTATTTCTATTTTTAAATGAAAATGAGCTCATCTTAAAAAATGAGTAAAATTCATATTTATGATAAAGCCAAATTGATGTACTATCACTTAGTGTTTCTTTTTGTTATTATTTCAGAAAAAAAAAAATTAGAACAAAATCAAGTGCAGAAAGTTTATTGGTAAAAGTTGTAAATCTACCACTCATACATATTTCCCCTACTACTTCCAAGAGAAAAAAATTACTAGAAATATAATTAAAATGTAAACAAAAGAATTTCAGGAAACGCAATGGAAAGCCTTTCCTGCTCTAATACGACTTTTAAATGAGCACTTATTTAAATAGATTATGCAGTATAAAGAGTAGAACATATTATAAAAAGTCAACTATTATAACAAATTTCCAAGTCACCATTAAAATACTGGTTATAAACATACAAAAATTGTACAGTCATAAAAAGTAAAAAATTAACTAATAAAACAAAAAATTTTTGAGAGAAATACATTTTTAGGCTATTTAAACAAAAGCAATATCCCTGTGGCAGAATTTTTTCTGACTTTCTGCGACAAACCTAACAACCAATATCTTTCTGCAAGATATTTTTATCGTTATAAATATATGTGTAATGACTTTATAATAATAGATGAAATTCGTGTTTATAAAATAAGTCTACATGCATAGAATAAAACTGTGTAGATTTTTTTTTCTTAATTTCATAATATAAGTTTACATTTCTTAATAAGTTTAAATTCTTTAAGTATAAATTTGCATTATCTTCAATAATAACGAAAAGTTATAAATGTATAGATCTGCAGACAAAAATGCTTACTAGAGCATAAATAAAGATTACCCAGAACCTGTAATAAGATAGAACTTATAGAAATAGCTAAGAATATACAAAAAGATTAAATTTATAAAACAAGATAACTGAATTTGATGTATCAGTTTAAAACAGTATCAAAATTAAATTATTAAAGCAGTTTAAAACAGTATGATTTAATGTTTCATTATAGTAGATATCAGGTACAGAAACAAATCAGGTGAAAAAATTAATATTGAAGTTGAGTAATCAAAATAATAAAATAAAATTGACTATAACCGAATTCTAAAAGCAAAAAAATTAAAGCAATGTTTGTTTCAATTTTTTCTACATCTAATTAATTTTATCTAATTAATTATAGATTAATTAGATTCAATTAATATTGTACTGACTTATTGTAAGATTTTTTTTTAAAAAAAGGAGGTAAATAAAACTTTTTTCGTGATCAGATTAAGTTTAGAACAAAAAAAATACACAGCGCTTGTGATTTCGCACTGTATTGTGTAAATAAATAGCATTGATTCCACACGAAGTATGCAGAAGCGGTTTCCTACTCAATATGCTCAAGTCTATCCAACATCTCGAAACGAAATAGTCTTTATCAGTACTGAAACATTGGTATTAGAGCCATACTCATTGGATGCGATTTTTTTTTTGCATGCGTATGGAAACCTGTTTGAAAGTGTTTCACCAGTAAATATTTTCCACCAATCTGGTTTTCATTCGCATGCCAAAAAATCGTAGATAGTGAGATATCTTTCAGGCTTTATTTCATTTATCGTTAGATTGCGATTTTTATTTATTTTTATTTTTTTATCGACGACTTAATTCAAAGGCATTTTATCTTTAAATAAAAATATTTATGTAGTTATTTTTTACTTTTTACCTTTGACTGCTTCTAAAATTTCTTGATTTGTTGGAAATGCTGTCTCATCCTTACTATCGATATCGCTACTAGTAAGAATATTTGATTCGAATCTGGAATGTTTTTTTTCCTCCAATATTAGTAGCATGGGAAGCTTGTTTTCCTGTCGCTTTCCAGAAAAAAAAATCTCTGACATCGCTAGATGTTGTCGACTTCCATCTTATTTCTTCTTCGGAATGCCGCCTTGAAAAATCAGTTTTCAAATTTGTATTAATTATTGTGGCCTCACAATTGCAACAAATAACCTTTTCGCCAGACATGATTTTTTTTAAAAAAAAGAATCTTTTTACACATGAAATTTTCCACATAAGTGCAAAAAATATATAATGCTCTGTTCTCATAAGAAAACACAAAGCTAATTACTGCGCCAGCGATAGAGGCCGAAGTTGGCAAATTTCCAAAAATAGCTTAATAAAGGGGAAAAAATTCTCCCTTTTTTATCCAGTAACTGTTTGCGTTGGAGATTAAGGGAGAATTACGAGCGCTTTCTCCTTCCGCGGTACGCTAGAAGAAAAAAAATATTTAAAACAATTCTGTAAGAAAAAAAATTTGCAGAACGCATGCGTATTATTGCTTCTGCAGAAATTTTTTGTTTCTGCAGAAAATGTTTTTATTTATTATTATTTTTTTTTGTTGGTAAAACAGCTTCTGTTTCTGCAGAATCTTTCTTGAGAACTTTTGTTTGTGGCAAACCAAAAATTTTTATTTCCCAAATAAAAAAAATCTTTCTGCAAGAACTCAGTCGCTTTCTGCGACAATGTCGCTGTGTCGCCGTGTTTCTGCCACGGGGAGCAATATTATGGCGAAAAAGGTTTAAATGGAAGGCAAATTTATTTATTTCTGGTAAAAAGAAAAACAAGTGTTTCTGTCAAACAATTTTGATCTCTTATTTTTATAAAGCTAGTTAACTTCTTTCTAACAAAAGTTTTTCCAATATTTTTAGAAATAGGTCCACAGCACTCGAAAAAATATGTGCCTTATGTTGACCACATTTATGCCCCCTTATTTCCCTTCTTGACAACTTATTATTAAAATTAACATTCAATGTTATGATGTCAAAAGGTATTGCATTAATTTTAATGCTGCATAATTAAGACAAAAATCTGTGGGCAAAGATAGTCAATTCTAGATAAATAATTTAAATCAAAATAAATATTCAAAGTAAAAGAAAACTCAGCAAATATGACTATTATATTTTTTAGTCTCTTTCTTTTAGTCTATTTTAACATTAAATATGTGCATTTGCTTATAAAATTTAATTTCATCTGCAATTGTTGTTATGATGGACTTTTACTGTACTAATTATGGTTGCCCTCCAAGCTATGTACAGTAACAACAGGTGTGCAGTTTTATTTATAACATGACTTGTGATGATACATAAATTATATATTTAAAATCATTCTTACTTGCAATTTTTAGTGAAAACTATCATTGAACTTTCAGGATGTTTTGTTTGAAAAGTATTAATAAATTCCACCAAACTTGCATTTTTTACCATCAAATGTGGCACCAATATATAATTCTGTTCCAGTGTTTTAACAGTTGATACATCAGATTCAGAGTTCCATATAAATGGTTCAAGGCAGCTTATTTTTTTCAACTCATCAAGATTTTTTGACATAGTAGCGCTGAACATTAAAGTTTGCCTCTTTGATGGCAATGATTCAAAAATAACTTCAAGCTGTTGAGATGAAAGTAAAAATTAACATTATGGAATTGAAATATAAATAATTTCATGCAATAGATATAGGAAATAAGTAAAAGAATTGATGAAATCTTATAGATTAAAACAAATGCAATTTTAATTAATATCTGAAGAAAATATTTTTTTAATGTATTTCCTTCTAATATTATTGATTCAATCTGTAGAAAATGTATCACACAATCCAACAAATTCTTTACTTAGAGCTTTAATATCCTGATTATTCTACCTTATTATTCCAGGATCAGTTCCTCAATTGTTAATTGTCCCTCCAATAGCTCAGAATAAATTTGAGTTTAAACACGTTTCTTTTCCTTGTAAAACTAATTTAATCAACCTTTTGAATCTTATTATGGACATTAATAGCTGAGGTATTTATCAAATTTGTTGTCAGCGTGGTCTTGAATATGATGGGAAAATTAAGCATGCCCTTAAACTTGGACTTAAAGCTCATGAAAGATACGCCCAAAAAAAAAGGATATTAAATGATCTTCATTAGCTGAACATAATTAAAATTCCAATATTATATTTGAGTTATCAACTGATAAAATCATTCTTGACTGCCCTTTAGCTACTGATCTCGACTTTTAGGAATCATTCCATATTTTGAGAAATTCCCATAATTTAGTTAATCCTATTTTTCCTTATGTTTGGAAATCTAGTTAAATTTCCACAACTTGAACAGCTGGGATTTTTATCCTAGCCTATATAGCTGGTTCTTATCTTCCTTCTTTTTTCTGATTATCTACTTCAAGCCTGGTCCTCTTTACCTATAGTTCCTAAGTAGTTGAATAAGGAAATAATTAGAAGAAAGTAGGATATTGTTTTAAAAGTTTTGGTTTAGGCTGGATATGGAAACCTGAAGTTTAAACCTTTTCTCAAGGGGAGATAGAGCACCAATTCAGATAAGTAAGATATTATTGAATCGGATAAGCCCATAATAAAGTTGATAAAATTATAAATTCAGTTGGCATTAAAGTTCTAATGTATAAAAAGTACAATTTTGTACTTATACCTATCTAAACATCTGAAATTGATAAACAAATAAAGAATTGCTCCCTATGTTAATTATCACATTGAATGGAATGAAATCAAAACAGTTTAGAAATTATGAGATCAGGTCTAACAGTTAAGGGCTAATCACAGGACTAATAATTTAAAAGATACAAGAGTTTCAAACATTAAAAATATAATGATTCAGTCATACTTTTTTTTATACATAAAATCCTTATAACTTTTAAAACATTAGTTCTATTAAGTTACTTTTGGTTTCATTGAATTTATCATAAAAGATTATAAGGAACAATGTTTCACTTGTCAATATCAGATGCATAAATATGTAAAAGTAGAAAAATTTCACTTTTTATATAAAAAATTGATTGATTGACTTGTTTTTGATCTCATTCAATTTAGAGTAATAAAAAAATACATTGGATTTAATACTTCACTTATCAATATTGCAATGCCAAATATTCAGATGTACAAAAGGATAATTTTTATACATTTGAACTATTAGACACATTGTTAACTATTAGTGCAGCAGCAACTATTAGTTTCATTTTAGCTTTATTCAATTCAACATAAAAAAATACATAAGAAATAAAACCTTACTTGCCTAGAGAGGAATTGAAAGTGCATGCAAATAAGCATATTTCAAAAAATTTAATTTTTATTTTTCTTATTTTCTGAATTCCTAAGATCTTCTGAATTATCAATCTTATTGATTTGATTTTAATGTTACTCATTCAGCATAAACACACATATATAGATTAGAAGAGAATAAAGAGAAGTTTAAGTCTCCCCACTCAAAAAAAATCTCAAGTAGAATCAGGGATGGCAAGTTACGCCCATAGTGGAAAATACCTCCCCGGAAAAATAGGGATTTTTTTCCAACCCAAGTGAAAGAAATGGAAACTTTTTTAAATAGAAATATCACATATTAAAACAGTTTATAATTGCAATCTAGTTCAATTAATGCATTAATTTCCAAGCTATTTAATAGTTCATTTTTAAATAAGAAAAGTCTAAAAACCAGTAATTGAAAAAAATTAATGAATTAATCAGGAAATTAAATTAATTGTAATTTTACAACATTTTATGTAAATTAATATAAGTAAAATTTTATTTTATGATTATAAAAAGAATTGTTAAAATAATATGAAATTTATTAGAATTACTAAATTAACAAATCATACATTAAACATATATATTACAAAACATTTTTTAAAAAAAACTCACACACACATTGAATTCACAACTACAAATAGCGTATAAAAAATTTTCAATCACTCTAAAGTATGAATACTTAAACTAATTCTTAAATAATATGATACATAAAATTTTAAAATTCCGTTATTAGTTTAAATTTAATCTATTCTTCAATTTAAGTTATTTTTCCTCACAGTTTTTTTTAGTTTTTTTCCATTTTGTCTTGTTTCTTCAAACTTATCCAATTTCTTTCTGATGCAATGCTAACCCTGAGTAGAATATCTCACATATTTCAAGTTATGCTTTTTTATTAGCATTAATGAGTTGGATTTTTAATACTGAAATACTAATTTTAATTAGTTCATTCATTGAAAAAATGCGTAAATAAATATTTTTAAAACAATAAAACTTTAAAAATTTTATATGTATGTGTGCCTCAGATAAATAGGTACCCTAAATACACCCCTAGTAACAAAATTTCTGGAATGAATCTTCAGCACAATCTTCATGAATCTAAATTTGTCTGTGACCTACTTGCAGTCAGGCAGAGAATATTGCACAAAATTCAGGTTCATCATCTAACATACATGTAGCAAAATTTGAAATTTGAGGATTTTATACATAAAAACTTTATGTTGTTAAAATTTAAGTTGAATTTCATACAATGATGCTGAAAAAATGGAATTAATCTCTATGAAGTTAAGCCTAAAATCAAGTTACAGAAAAAGAATTCTTCACTTTTTGTTCTTTGCACAATTCTCTCAATCCAATTTCTCAATTTTTATTAAGAACAAATTTACAGATGCTTTAGAGAGGAGTCTTTGAAATTCCCTCAATCTCATTTAATTATTTGCTTTTTAAAAATGAAAGTAGATGAAAAAATAATCTGCGACACCCACTGCTATATCTCTTGGCCTACAATGAAAAAAAGTTGAAAACACTGTTTTATAGAAATTACATCAATTAAAATATAAAAATCTTATTATTATCTTATTAGATTAAAATCTTATTTATCGGTAACCAAGTAAAAAATATATATTTAATCTTACTTGATCATGGAACTGTCCTTCTAATAATCTATCAGCTTCATCCAAAACAAGTATTTTAGTTCTCTTAAAAGAAATATCACTACTGCTTTTTAGATGATCAGCTAATCGACCAGGAGTAGCTACAATTATATGGGGTTTGGAACTTATCTCCTTGCCTTGGGCCACCATATTCATTCCTCCAATTATAACCGCAACCTAAAAATCAACAGAAATAAGATAATGTTCCCTCTATGAACATTCCAAATTATGCAAAATAAAATACTTTTTAAAAAGTTATGACATTATAAGCATTAAATAGTCCAGGGGTCTGTCCAGACATTTTGTGAAAGGTCCAGTTTTCGTGAAATTGTGAAAAAAATTACTCACATTCTTTCAACCAGGGTCCGCTTAATGAATTTGTGCGAATAGGGTCCGATTATAACAAAAAACTTTTTCAAGGAGTTTTTAAATTGTAAATAGATACAAGATTATGCTCAGCACTGCAAAATTATAATTAAAAAAATTAAATTTTCAAAAATAAACAGCAATTGTTGCTTCTAAGTTAGAGATGCAACATACAAATATTTGGTATTTAGCCTATAATGTTGAACCCAGAATATTCATTTCGGACGAATAATAGAAGAAGCATCTGCCAAAGACAAAACTTAAATCGTTTACATCAATCTTTCTTTTTTTACCCCCTGGGAAGGGTTTGTTAGATTAACAAAACATTAATGAAGATAAACAAATTTGTGAAGAGTCCGATTAAAAGAAAAATCATTTTATGAAGGGTCCGTTTTTAAGTTAAAATATTTTGTGAAGGGTCCGTTTTTATGAAAAGATACTTTGTGAAGGGTCCGTTTACGGACCAAAATTTCTTCTAAACAGACCCCTGACTGTTATTACCTTTTGACAGGCTTTTTCTTCTTTTTTTCGTGCCCATTTCATCGTTAATCCAAGTGATTTCTCAATCATGTATTTGGCACATATAGTCAGATTTCTATGTGCATTTTGAAAAACTCGATTTTTGTTATATTTTCGAGTCTTGAACAAGGCATTTTAATAATCACTTTTGACTTGCCTAATTTTTCTCACTTTATGTATAACTTTTCTAGTTTGTTATTGTCTAGTTACTTTTCTATTGCTTAATTATATTTACAGATTTTAATACTCATTTCCATAGTTTATTTTTTTTTGTAGTTGAAAATTTTGATATTATTAATTAAATTCAACATTATTTTAATACCTTTAATTTGATACTATATTAGTATACATTATTCAAACATTGGTTTTTAACTATTTTTTGTTTTTAAACTTTTTTTCTAATTTTTTTGTACTGTAAAAAAATGCATAAAAAACCGTTTAAGATAACCATTTAATATTCATAAAATCTCTTTTTATTCAACAAATATTAAAAAGTTCTAACGTTAAAATTATAAATATAAGTAAGAGTTTATTCCAACATTTATCATTTTTGCATTTATTTAAAACAAACTTTTTTATTATGAGATGTGATAAGAAAAAATCACTTTTCCCAACTTTATAGTTTTTTAGATATATCTATTCCTTGCTATGATGGATTTTTTCTTTCAAAAGTATTAGTTCAGTAACTTTCAGTTTTGAGTGAATTTTAATATTTCAAAGCATTTAATTTTATACAAATTTATTACTAAGTTAACTGATTAAAATTATTTTGTGTCTAAAATACTAAGGTTTACTTAAAAATTGCCCTTAATATGACTAAATATTTAGACATGAGATAAAGCTACTTTGAAATCTTACTTCTAAATTAATAGGTTTTCCAATGACTCGAAACTGTTCAGCGATTTGTATTGCTAGTTCCCTAGTAGGAGTAAGGACTAGGGCAAAAACTCCGTATGGATCCTCTGCAAGCAACTGTAAAACAGGCAGAGCAAATGCTAGTGTTTTTCCAGATCCAGTTTTAGAGACAGCAATGCAGTTTTCTGAAGCAATAATCTTAGGTATACAAAAACTTTGTACTGGTGTAGGACTCGTAATTCCTAATAATAATGAACAAAAAAGTTAAGGAAATTTAATAGTACAATGAACGACACGAAGTTGGAGAAGAAAATAAAATCGACACTAACCCATTGATGTGCATTGCTCAACAAGCCAAGGTAAGAGTCCCAAATTACTGAAATCTGAGGAGGTCTGAGAATCCACCATGTCACTTAAATAATTTTAATTATAAAACACATTAATGAAAGAAATTACGCGTGTGAAAATGAAGTTCCAGAAAAATATAAACAAATTTTTGATGATTGATTGATTTAATGTTCACGTTTTTGGTAGATTATTTTTGTCTACTTCAGGAGCAGCTCATGCTGAATTAGTTCCGAAAAGGGTCCCCGTGGCGCTAGTAGTTTTTGTCGTCCCAATTTCGACGGATTTTCCTATTCGCGATCGCAGTGCTCGAATACGCCATCTAAGAAGAGCTGCGTCTAATAATATGCAATTTATTTCTTTGGAATAACTCTGCTACGTATTTGAATTTTGCCACATTTATATTCATTTTATTCCTGACAGTGGTTCATTAAAATATTAGCAGATAGAAGTACCATAAGAGGTTTTTTTAACTTCCCCTTGATGATGCGAATGCATTGATTTCCCCTAATAAGGATTCTATAAAATCCTTTAATTCAGGGGCCCTGTACTTTATTGATCCTGTCTTCTGATATCCTGTCTTCTGATATCTTGATTATGCGAGGTTCTAACCCAAATGAGAATGAAACATGTCCTTTTTCTAGATGAGAACCCATCCTTTTAATCCCGAACAGTCTCATGATCTGACTATGCTCTGGGGGCATTGGATTTTCTCCTATATAAAGGATATATCCTTTAATCAATATATCGACAGAATATTGCTAATGAAACTGACTCTATTCACCCAGTATCCTAAAAAAAATTAAATCGGAAGTCTGACGTCATAGCGACTCAGATTAGTGTAAATTAGAGCTCCTGGGACAGGCCATAAACCGGAAATTGCGAGTTTGAAGTGAAATTTTGTTTTAGTTACTTATGAAAGAACATAAAGTACCAGAACCGGAGGTTATTGATGAAATCCGAAAATCGAGGTTGTTGTAAGCAGTCTGACTGATGCATTGCCTTGTTTTTGTTCTGTAGCGTATCTACCACTACAAAATTACAACTACAATTCACTAGTATATAAGACATGTTAACTCGACCTCTATGTGGGGTACCTTTTCATAGATGAAAGTTGACATGGTCTGTAACTAACAACCCCACATTGGTGACCTTCGGACGTGATGTGAACACGCCTACCTATAAGATAAATCGAANTACACTCAAAAAGTTCTCGAGATAATGGGCTATACTCGAAGAGTGAAGTTAAAATTAAAGGACCCAAGCTTTCCAACTCCCTCTTAGCCATAACTTCAGACCATATCTTCCAGATTGCGGCTGTTTCCGCGTTTTGAAAATTAAAAACCTAAAACTATAGACAAACTTGTATGTTTATCCAGCACAGAATGCGCTCTTCTGTTCATTTTCGTAACTTAAAATATGATATTGACTCTTTAAACGTGAAAATATGATTAAATCAAAAGTTAATCAAAGTGTTCCCTTTTTCCATTTCATACACTGTACATAAAATAAGTCAATGAGAATCTGTTATGTTGATTAATATATATTTTAAGATATTGAATACGAACAGTTTGTTTTTCTGGATCAATGAGCAATCTTTTTACTACTAAGAAAATTATGAAGAAAATAATAAATTAAAAATATTTTGTTACTGTTTGTTTAGCTTTTTTTCCGACTGAATATTTATTGCATTCATGAAAATATAAGCCTTGAATCCGAATAAGTAAATGATTTTCCTCATTTAAAAATATTAAAAAAAAAAAAATAAGATGAAAAAATTTAAAATTTTTTATTTTATTCTTATACTTTCATTTTGCTTGAACATTTCAAAAAGCAATTATGCGATCCCATAAACCATTGATAAACACATTACATAAAAAAGATTTTGTAAAGAAGAGGACCTGCGTCTCTCAGCGAAGAGGTGTGATTAGATTATCCCCTCCTCAGTTCTCCAGAAGAAAGAATAGCAGTTTGAAAGATGTGTTTCCAAGAAAATGAAGATGTGTCTGCGGGAAAGGATTTCTATGGGACTTCGAAAAGTCGTCAATTTCTACCATGTCTAATCGCGTCCCACGATTACATAGAATTTACAATATATTTTACAAATTTTTATTATTAATTCTTTAAAATAAATAAATAAAAAATCAACTGCAAAAATTATTATTTTATTTTATTTTTATTTTATAGTAAATGAATTTTTGACATTATTTAGAAAAAAAATTGATCAGACTATTTTCCCGACGGGACTCTAAATTTTTCCCGATGGGGGGGCTGGCCATGCCCGACGGGGGTGCAGTTGCCCCCCCTGACCCCCTACTGGCGCCGCCCTTGCNGTTAACTCGACTCTATGTGGGGTACCTTTTCATAGATGAAAGTTGACATGGTCTGTAACTACTAGCCCCACAGATTTTTCAATCCAAATGTTAGTGTATTTGTTATTTGTCTGGCATTGACTTATTTTACAGTTTTTTGAAAGTACCAAAAGAGGGCAGTAGTGAACTGTATATTCGCAGTTTTTAGGCTACCTCAGTGTAACAATTCAAATAATGGAACATGGTAACGATAATCGTGATTTGATTGTATGAGAGGTCTAGGTCACATGGGGACATAGATATAAAGGCAGAACAATCAATCACTCAACCAAACGGACGTCACGGTAAACGTTGACATCACTGGTCTTAGTAACTAGTTTTTACTCTATATCCACGCCCTCTAGTGAACTGAGGTGTTTCTTTATTGTAGTTGTTTGTTCATAGCAGCTGTACATAATTTGTTCTATTTTTATTTAATTTTTATAAGTTGTAATGATTAATAATAATTGATAACATTCAGTCTCCTTGTCAGAAAAATCTGAAATTCGTAAATTTTATGACAAATTTTTTCCTAGATTTTTTTAAAGATTAGTAAATTTTTAAAAATTAAGAAAAAAAAAAGTAATATGTTCTTAAAATTTAATTCTTTGTATCATTCTGAAATTCAAATATTTGAAATAAAATAAAACACATTTTATGTACTTACAAAAAATAAATAAACAAATGAAATAAAGAACATTTTAGTAAACATTCCAAGCTAGTCAAAGCATTAAATTTCATATAAAGCACAAAAAATTGGAAAATGATAATAATTGCTGAGATATAGTCTCATTATTGCCTGTTAGCGTTCAATTAGTTTGTTAGTAAAGCGTTTTCTTGGTTTTCATTTGAGTGTAATGGAAATTCTAATTATTTTCATTCAAAAAGTCTTTAAAATATGATTTTACTCCTCTATTTCAATTACAAGGTACTTTGATATCTGGGTCGTGTTAAAAGTTAAAAATATAAGAAAAGTGTTTCACAACATCCACTAAGATGACAAATTGTTTGTCAAGGATGATAAAAAATTTAATGGTTAAAAAAATAATTAATTGCGATAATGAACATTTAGCTGTAATGTTATTATTGTTCAATAATCTAAAAGATTTTTCGTGGTTTTCCTTTGCATTTAACGCAACATTTATATATATATATATATATTATAATAATTTAAATAATTATTCGTGCAAAGGCATTAATAAAGATCGGAAATTGATAGATGCGCTATACAATCGAATTCCTAATAAATACTACGAATAATTATTTTCATGAAAAAGATTTTTATTTTTAATTCTCAGCGGAAAGTTTAACAAATTTACGGTTGCATGGCTTATATTTTGTTTAAAAAAAATGTGCCATTAATCTGCACTTTTAATTATAACGATTTTAAAACAATAATAGTAAACTAATGAAATTCAAAGGGTTTTAGTTCAGAACTCGTTCTGTTGAATCATACATTTAAATGTAATAAAATACTAATTTAAACATTTAGACTTCAGTTATAATCGAACCAGACGCTTCAAACTAATAACTATAGTTGAATAAGCAAATGTCCTTCCTTCGGTTTTAATTAACCCAAGTTCTGAAAACCGAAACTATAACTAATTGCTCGTAATCTGAATGATCTCTGGTTTCAAAACTTCAGAAAACAAACAAATAAATTATGAGTGTTGAATAGACATCTTTAAGCAATATACAAAATAATATACTGGTTTTCAAAAATAAAAAATTTTAGAATTTAAATTAAATTGCTTTTTAATGATCAACACTGATTACGCGCAATGCTTAGGTACGGCAGGGATGACTAAAAATAATCTATAGGACGACGCGAACGCCACTTTTTAAGCGTAAAACCGGTCTGTCAAAAGCGTGTTGCTTTTCTAAAACCCCCGGGAAAAGTTAAATGTTTCCCCTATATTAGTCCCTGAATGGGGAGTAGAGAGATAAACAAATACAATACCGCCTACACACGTGCAGGAAAAATCGTTTAACCGGCATTAAATTTTTCTTGTTGAAATTTCATAGAAAACTAAATTGTAAAATGACCGATCCTGTGGGAAATTCGGGAAATCTATCTGACTTAATCGGAGCTATAGACCAAGGTACTAGCAGTTCAAGATTTCTCGTTTTCGCTAGTGAAACAGCCGAAATTGTTGCATATCATCAAATCGAAACTAAGCAGTTATATCCTCAGGTTGGTTGGGTTGAACAGGATCCCCTTGAAATTTTATCCTCTGTTCAAACATGTATAGAGAAAACGGTTGAAAAGCTTAAAAACTTTGAAATTAATCCTCTCAACATTAAAGCTATAGGTGTAACTAACCAGAGGGACACTACTGTCGTATGGAATAAGTTCACCGGTAAACCGTTATACAATGCTATAATATGGCTTGATACTAGAAATGTGAACACTGGTGATCAATTAAGTAAGAAAAGAGGTTCAAAAGCAGTGATGGAAAAGTGTGGTTTGCCAATCACAACATTCTTCAGTGCTATTAAATTGAGATGGTTAATTGAAAATGTTCCACAAGTTAAAGAGGCAATTGAAAATGATTCTTGCCTGTTTGGAACAATTGATTCCTGGTTAATATGGAACTTAACCGGAGGAGTTAATAGCGGTATTCATGTAACAGACGTAACAAATGCCAGTAGGACGATGCTCATGAACATAAGAACTTTGGAATGGGATCCATGGTTGTGCAATTTTTTCCAAGTACCCATTTCTATATTGCCGAGTATTAGGAGTAGCTCTGAAATTTTAGGTTGCGTTTTGGGTAGTTCATTAAATGGAACGCCTATCTCCGGTTGTTTGGGTGATCAAAGTGCTGCTCTAGTAGGCCAACTATGTTTTAAACCTGGCACAGCTAAACATACATATGGTACTGGATGTTTCTTATTATGTAACACTGGAAAAGTTCCTATATGGTCCAAGCATGGACTACTAACTACTGTAGCCTATAAACTGGGTCCTGATAAGCCGGTTACTTATGCCTTAGAAGGTTCTGTTATTATAGCGGGTGCTTTAATTAGATGGTTGCGAGATAATCTAGGTATAATACAAGATTCTGCATATATTGAAAAACTTGCTAGTTCTGTTGAAAGCACACATGGTGTATATTTTGTTCCTGCTTTTTCAGGTCTTTATGCTCCTTTTTGGAAACCCAGTGCTAGAGGTATTGTTTGTGGGTTAACGACATTCTCGACACGTGCTCACATAGCACGTGCAGCTTTAGAGGCTATTGCTTTTCAAACATGTGAAGTAGTTGATGCTATGAAATTAGTTAGTGGTTTTCCTTTAGAGAATCTAGTAGTAGATGGCGGAATGACTAGTAATTCTCTATTAATGCAACTTCAAGCAGATTTTTTGGGTCTTAAAGTCATACTACCTTCTATGCCAGAGACTACAGCTCTTGGTGTAGCTATGGCAGCTGGAGCAGCTAAAGGTATTGAAGTATGGGATATAGATTCTACAGTGTCAAATGGCGTCACAACTGAAACTTTTTATCCGAATATTTCATCGGAAGAAAGGAACTCGAAATATTCTTCGTGGAAAAATGCCGTCAAGCGCTCAATGAGATGGGAAGATGATAAAGTTATTGATAATCCCATATTAAAATCATTGCCGGGGGGATTATTTGTATTTTCGTCCTTTGTGCTTCTCCTTTTTGCTGAAGCCTATACCAAAAAATTTCTTATTTAGGTAGATATAATTATTTATCGTTTTCAAATAGTGAAACTTGGGTGAATGCCAGAACTATAATTTTGTGAGAAACTGATAAAAATTGGGATGTGTGATTAAGATTATTTTTTACATTATGTGATAAATTTTTTTTTTCAGTTTCCACAAATCAATTAATTGACTTATTTAGGATTTTCAAATAATGAACGCAATGGAATAAGATGAGAAGTTTTCTGTATTTGTACCTGCACCAACATAGTCTCCAAGTTTTGGTGACTTCAGTGTAGTTTCTCGCTTGAAAAATATCATGCAAGGGGACCAATTCAAAGTGTGTAACTACTTTGCTGGGCAAATCACTACACATATTTTTAACTTTTGTACGTGCCAAATATCTGGTGCCTTGATGAAAACAGGTACTGATACAAAAATATCCCCATAAAGTTCAATGACAGCTCTGTGATAATTTTGTGAGAAATTGATAAAAAATTAGGATGTGTGATTAAGATTGTATTTTACAATATGTGATAGAATTTATTTATTTTTTTTAACGATTTTCACAAACCAATTTTCCTAAAGTATTCATTTTTAGAAAGGTAAAGCATTTTTGGTAAAAAAAAAAGAGAAAATTCTCAGTATTCTGTAACTCAGCATCTTCTTGCAAATTATTTAAATAATCTGAATCATTCTTACATAAATGGATTCAAAAGGAATATAATTTGATTATATTACAATTATACAAATGGGTTGAGTTATTAAAGCTTTTTGTCCTGCTAATATATAAAAGAGATAGATATATAAAATTTTCATGAAGTCCCTAATTTGTTTCTTTCTTAAAGCTTATTAATTAAAAAACATGTAAATGTCTCAAGAAATTATTGGAGCAAACACAGTAAAAAAATTGAAAAAAACAGTGCTAACTTGAAGTATATTTTATTCTAAATAATAGTTTGCAAATATAACGCAATGAAAACTATTTTATAACTTTTGAAAAAATTTAATTTATAATAGTTAAGCTAGGTAGATTTGAAAGGAAGTGATATTCTTATGTTAATAAAAAGCCATGTTGATTTGTTTTCTTTAAATTTATGTCATGCTTAAAATTTTCCATAATAAATAATTTAAATACTCGTTTAGAAAATAAGCTACTTTTATTATATAGTTTTTTATAATTTAAAATGAGCTACAGGCTTATTTAAGTAGAATTTCTACAACAAACTAAGAATATTCTAAAAATTAAGAACATACTTGTAAAACTAAGTAAACAAAAACAGAGTAAGGTTTCAGACATGTGTTGTCAAAAAATGATTAAAACAGTTGAAAGTCTAGAGAATGGTACTTGAAAATTCATAATGAATTTGAAGTTTTTATGATAATCTAAACTATATTATCATAAAGAAATGTGATATTTAAATATATTTTATTGTATAAATATTAATGCATAATTAACAATAATTAAATTAAACTAGAAATAATAAATTTGAGTCAATGGGGAAAGAGTTTCTTTTATATTCACATTTATTTAATTTAAAAGTTTCAATGAATTTTTAAGTAGTCTGAATGAAATCTATAAATAGTTGAGTTATTAATTTATATTATTAAATGGAAGTCTTATGTTGCAAAAATTTGTTATTTTTTCTGTTAATTTTAAAGTTGACTGGCTTGAAGTCCAAATTAAAACAATTCATTAAATGCAAAATTATCTTTAAGAAATATATGTAGGTATATATAAATTTAAAAAAGAGAAAATGATTTTGTGAAATTTGCATTTATAGTTACTTTACTTTGATAGAAAAAAAAATAATGGCATCTATCAGTGTTTCCCCAGTGCGCGTACCCCCAGGGGTATGGGAACAGTTTAGCGGAAGTGCGCATTCTTATGCGAAATATCTTACAACAAGCACAAATTCCAAAAAATTAATTTAAAAACAAAGTCGGTCATGAAAATTTACGACTAAATTTTTTTCTATTGACCATTTTTTGAAGAGTTAACAGTTAATAATTAGTGGTGTCAACAGCAGTTGTGATTTTTAACTTTTATGCAATTTTTTTATAGTAAAAAATACATTCATTTTTTAATTTGTGGTACATAGCATTACGAAAAATTTAGAAAGGGTACACAAAAGTCATAAGTTTGGGAAACACTGGCATAGATAACAATTTAATAAAAGTAATGCTTCTTATTTCTATTCAAATTTATTTATTTCTGGACACGTTATTGCTAGTATTTGAACTATAATTCACTTAAGTATTGAAACACAGTCGCACTAAATTCATTTCCATTATATTTAAAAAAATATCTGTACTGCTTTTGAGCTATTTAATTAACTTAATTATCAATATGAAAGTACATTTCTTACAGATTTATAAGAGGTTCAAAAGAACAGACATTCAGATATATAACAACAATATGTTAAACATTATATATCCATTTTGATGAAGTGAAATTTTTTTGTCTGAATGCGTCCCTCACTATGCTAACTTCATATTTTGTTTTGTGCAGACAGTAATGCATGCTACATACCAAATAATATACAACTGTTAGTTTGTTTCAAACTTAATCGAAGCATCATGCCACATATTCTTAATGTTCAATTTTTTAAAAACTTATTGGCGACATATTTTTGGATTATTGTAGGTGACAAAAAACCTTGATCTTGCTTTCCACACTATCAGTAAAAGCTTGGACAATCTAAGGTTGATATTGTGAAAAAAATAGGAAATATTTACTTCAATAATAATTTTGCTGAACTTGACTTTTTGATTTTTATTTACTAGACTAAGAGAATATTTATATATATTTTACTTACCTTTATCAAAATATATAAATAAAAAAATACTGTTATAAAATTAGCCGAGGAAGTATGAGTATTTTTCTCTATCATTTATTATTGACTTGTATTATAAAGTATGTAAATTCATTCCAAAAATTAATAATATTTGTTCATACATTAAATAATTTATTTTGAAATGCATATGAATGACTTCTGATTAAATTATATAAATTTTGAAAAGAAAAAACAAAACTTGTCTTATGCATTTTTTCCAACTGGAGTCACTTTAAAAGCTTAGATTTTTTTATATATGGGGTGCAATGTAGATCTACCTCCTCGTGGTGCACCCCGGGCAACGTTCATACGGCAAAATGATCTACAACTCTGGTATGAGTAGATCTGGTTGCGAATCTTTGACTATTCAACAGTGGAATGTGGGAGACATGTTTCATGCACACTCCAGTTTGCTTGGATGGTTTAACGCAGTGTTTCTCAAAGTGTGGTACACGTACCCCCAGGGGTACAGGGACAGTTTAGCGGACGTATGCGTTCTTATGCGAAATATCTTGCAACAAACGAATTTTTTATTTATAAACAAAGCTGTGTGTGTGTGTTTTACTTATAAGCAAAACAAGCCGTGAAAATTTATGATTACAAATTTTTCTATTGGCTATTTTTTGCAGAGTTAACAGTTAATAATTAGCGGTATCAACAGCTAGTTAATAATCAGTGGTGTAAACAGATTATTAACTTTTGTGCAATTGTTTTATAGTAAAAAATACATTCATTTTTGTATTAGTGTTACATAGTGCGAAAAATTTATTGTTGCTGTTGTTAATTTACGTCGCACTAGAGCTGCACAATGGGCTATTGGCGACGGTCTGGGAAACATCCCGGAGGAAGATCCGAAGACATGCCATCACAATATTGATCCTCTGTGGAGGGGAGGGCACCCCCGCTTCGGTAGCCCGACGACCTGCGCGCGAAGTCGAGCACTTTACGGTAGCACAGTTTAACGAGGACCGATACCGCACACCCTCGGTCCCTACGCAGACTGATCCAAGTGGTCACCCACCCGCACACTGACCGCAGCCAGTGATGCTTGACTTCGGTGATCTGCTGGGAACCGTGTCTTAACGATCAGTTCACTGCGGGACCACATTCCCGTACAATTGAGAAGAGGAGAGGGGTCAAGACGTTGTGTCTCGATTGTATTTTCGGCAATTATTGGTATGGATTTTTACATGATTTTTCAATGTCCCAATATATTTCCGACAATATGAGAAATTCGGATCGCACGTTTGAGTATTTACTTTTTAACGCAATGATTATCGATTTTTTTAGCAGTTATATCTATTGATTTCAACATAGTTTTTGAAATCCGATATTTTTCATTACAACAACCAAATCTCGATGCGAAAAACGTATTTGAGTTACCCCGTCGTCGATCTTTATTCCGGTAGTTACTGACTGCTACGGATTACACGATTTTTTTTTTTTTTAATGTGATAATAATTCACAAAAAAGAAAATGGTTAGTGGGTTTTTCTCCCAACAAAATGCGAGAATATCGCTCATAATATTAGAATAAAAAAAATGAAAAATTACACAATCAGTTATAAATTATATACTGAGTTTTTTTTTTTTCGTTTTTTAAACACAGCGCTTTCACAGCATAATTTTAAAAAATAACATGTTTCTCGAAAGCAACCATTTCATGAAATAAAATGTGAGTAATATTTCTAGTTATTAGTAATTATGTAGTTAATAAAAAATCTTAAATTTTTTTTAAATATTTTATCTACACTGATTTTATGCGTAATCATCTTTTAGGAATTTCCGGGGCAAATATGACAGGTTATCTTTATTTAATACTCCTATAATTTTGTGCCAATTCTTGAAGTGATTTTATTGCAGGTCAGTTTAAAGGTAACTTACAATTTTTTAACATGGTTGAATAAATTTGTTGCAAAATGCGTTCTAAATGTGCTTTTATGAGGTTTTCAAGTTAATTTTGAAAGTTAAGCTCAGTGCTTGAAGAAACCAAATTGATGCTGTTCAAATACTGCACAGGAATCTAAAGGGAAGTTTATATTTGCTGACTAGGGGAAGAGGAGTATGATCATTGCTTACACAGGACACTGAAATACCTTTATTTCCATTTTTTTTAACAATCAAAGAAAATAAGTAAATAAATTCCTTTTTTTTCTTCTTTTTTTTAAATACACTTTGAAATAAAAGTAATATTTGCGGAATTTTACAGGTCAAAAACTCTGACCACTGAAGGAAAAAATACCCCAAAATTTTTAAAACTTTTATTTGAATTTAATCTTAAAATTAGACTGAAATTAATAACTAAAGTAAAAGTTTAAAAAAAAGATGGGGAGTCCGACATTCTTACATAAATATTGGAAAGGATTTGCTTGTTTTTAAATATGGTTACACAATATTTTATAATACCCCATTGTGTTAAATGAGTAAATTTTTCATTAAATAAAGAGAAAAAAATATTACACATTTTAAAAAAATTATTGTTATGGATGGTGTTTTCCACGCTAGAGAATGCTGCTAGCTCCATCCCGCCTATACTTCCGGCTTACTGTTACATGTGTATTTTAAAGCCATTTGGTTCATAACGTTATCATTGTGTTTCGAGATTCTTGCAAACATGGTATTTGATTTCTTATTACTTGTGTTTACAATGCTAAAGGTGCTGACACTAACGTAAGATGGTTAACAGCTTGCATCAAGAACAAACAGTAATAAATAAATGGAAAGAGGTCAAATCAGGACTGCCAAAAAAGCGAGTTATTCAAAATCTAGCAACCGTGTCACCTTTTTTAACAATATATCCAAGATAAAGTAAATTGCCTATCGCCTGCCTGTATGGAATTTTGCTTGATGTTTCTTTCCACTCAGCATCAGTTAACTT